ATTGAAAATGTTGGATAATTTTTGACATATACTTACTTAAAAGAAAAACAAGTTATTTGATGACGTCAACATTGAAACTATTACGTCATAAACGAAACAATAGCAGCAATAGCAAAAATAACAAGAAACAAACAACAACTAAACAAACAACAACAGTAGCAACAACAACAACAACAACAGATAGATAATATAAAATTAACGTAAAACCCCACTAGAAATAAAATGAAAAGCTCCATTTATCACGCATTCAATTACTAATTCATTTTCCCACCTCGAATCGAATTTCTAACTATAAAAAAGAATGAAAAAAGTAAGAGATGACCTTTAAACAATTTAAAACAAATGTATATTTATTCTACTCACTCGCATCATTTGCTAGGTGCTCCAACGATTCATAATCATCAATAAATTCAACGTCCTCATCGCCGTTGTCATCATCATCATCATCAACGTTGTTGTTGTTGTTGTTATTGTTGCTATCATTGGTAGCTTTATAGTTGTGATGTTTTTCTTTGCTGATGTTGTTGTTGATGTTGTTGCTGGTTGATAGGGACATCTTTTTGAAGATGTTAATTAGGAAGATAATCTGAAAAAGTGAGTGTATGGATAAATTAGTACATTAATTATTATAAAACATTAATGCATACATTAATTATGATAATGCTTTATGCGAAAGAGAGAGAAAGAGAGGGAGAGAGAAAGAGAGGGAGAAAAACTAAAAAGTGAAATGAAGGTGTTGCGTTTTGGCTTGGTTCAATTGCATATAGATTTCTGCCAATTACATACAACACACATTTAATGTTTATTACATCTCATTACAATAATTTCATTACATTACATATCCTCACACTTCATTATATTACATGTTTTTTTGCTTATATTTCATTACATTTCGCCACATGTAACATTACATTACATTACAAATTATTACATCACACTTCAGTTCATTACATTAATTACATTACATTACATTATATTTTGTTATATCACACTTCAGTCCATTACATTGATAACATTACGCTACATTACATCAACTTACGTGGCTTTTCTTGATCATTCTAGCTAGTACGCATAGCGCAACAACTTTATCACAATCCGACAAACTCTTAAACATTTGCGTAAATGTAGCAAGTTGACTGGAAAATGATGATGGAGCTGATGACGTTAATGATGATGTTGTTGATGTTGATGAGGATGAGAAAGAAGAGGAAGATGAAGATGACGCTATTGTCGCTGCAGCTGCTGCGCTTGAAGACAGCGTTGATGCTGATAAGTTAATAGATGACGATGACGTCACTGATGGTGACGATGTTACCGATATCATTTCCAACATTTTGTTTATTAACGGGAGTGACAAAGATGATGATGACGAATGATCAACATAACAATGGCTGTCGTCGTCGTCGTAATGATTATGATTGTGATGATGATGATGAGGAGGATGAGGAGGAAGAAGAGGATGCTGCTGCTGATGGAGATGATGATGATGACCTAGAGTCAAAATTGGTGATTGGGATGCTACTTTCATCTTTGTTGTCATCTGCAAACTGTAAAAATTAAAAATCTTTTTTTCACAATTTTAAATAAATACAAATATAACAAATAATTCTGAATAAATCTGAATAATTTTTTAAATGAAAATAATTAAACAAATATTGACAAAAATTGCCAAACGATTTCACAACACATATAAGCACAGAACTCAGGAAAGTATTTGAAAATAGTAGAGACAGTATTCGAACCACGTCAGCGCGTGACAACACAAACGCAAGATATGGCACCTCTGCCGTCTGAGCTAACATCTGTAACGATATTACTACATGACTTAATTATAACTCCATAACATGTCCTTTATAAGTAATATACCTTATATCATCTTATAAGCCAACCCGTAATAAATCTCAACAATTTAGGCGTAGCAACATGATGTTGAACCTTGAGATATTGATTTATACATGCCTGTGTAAGTGTTCATAATTTAATGTCTTGAATGTTATAATATGTGTTCACGAGTGTGTGTGTGTGTGTGTGTGTCTGTTTGTGTGTGTATCTGTTTGTATGTGTGTGTGTTGTTTGGTTTGTAGAGTCTTGTTTGCATTTAGATTATAAGATTTATGAACGAGGTACGTCTTATTGAAAGACTGTTGATCTGTTGGTTAAGTGGATATGTTGTAGGTGCTTATAAAATATAATAATGATGACGTTTTAAGATATTTTCCAGAGTTTATATCTTTAAAACTGATTGTCGATTGGTTATATTTACATGTTTTGCTGTTATGACTTAACGCAGACAAAAGAAAACGCAATGAAAAACTTTTCTTAAATCACTTTTCGCTTCGCTAGTTTTCAACGTAATTTCTTGGTCCAATTATCCCTGGATATGTTACGCACGTGCACACACGCACACACACACACACAAACAAACAATCACACACACACACACATCATTTCAAAAATTTAATAAACGAAAGCTTCGAGTTTCTGATGATTATAACGAAAAGGTTAAATCTCCTGTCAAGATTAACATAACGAGTGTGCAATAATAATTAATGAGAGACTTTCGTCACTGTGACGGTATGTTTAAAATTTGTGACCCAATTAGTATTTAATATGTATCTACTTTGTATCTATCAATATTTGTATTTTTGTATCTTATGGAATCTCATTGTATCTCATTGTATCTCCTTGTATCTTATTTTATTTCATTGGATCTCAATGTACTGAATTACCTATATATGTGTGTATGTATGTATGTATGTATGTATGCATGTATGTATGTATGTATGTATGTATGTATGTATGTATGTATGTATGTATATATATATATATGTGTGTGTGTGTGTGTGTGTGTGTGTGTTTGTATAATGTTATATGTGTTTTTGTGTGTTTGTGTGTGTGCTCGGATTTTGAATGATTATTATGCACTTGAGTGTGCGCGTATACAGTACAGTTTTGCATATTTTCATTGTTTCTGAAGGTGTTTTGGATGTTTATTGTTATGCCTGTAATTAATTGGAATTTGAGGTTATTAGAGGCGCTTAAGTTTAACAGATGTTTATGTCATTAATGGAGAAGTAAAACAAGCAACGTGTCCATTGAAGGACCTTGTCTCTTGTTTGAATGTTTTTCAACTCCTGGTATGGGTAATGGGGAAGAATTTTCCTTCAATGCGTGCTTTTCAACATAGTTGTTAAGGTTTTATACTTTTTATTGTTGTTGCTGTTGTTAATACAGTTACACTTAGTGATTTTGTTGTCATCGTTTTGTATTTGGTGTTGTTATTAATATTGTTATTATTATTATTATTATTATTACTTTATTGTTATGATAAACAAAGTATTTTAAAGTCACAGTTTAATGCCATTGATGTCATTATTCATAACTCATCACTATGACAATAGCCGAATGATTGATCGGTTGATTGACTATAACGGAATGATTGAGTAAGTAATGAATGAATGAACGAACGAACAAATCTAGATGAATTGAATGAATGAATGAATATATATATATATATATATATATATATATATATATATATATATATATATATATATATTGTGGGTGGTGTGTGTAATCATGTACATATAACAGAAGCAGTTTAAACAATTCACCTATCTTGATGAATGCATGCATGAATGCATGAATAAACAAATTAAGACTCCACAGTATATAATAAATTAACGTTGGAAGTTCCTTATTAAAACTTATCAAACATCATAAAGGTAAGAACTACCAAGGTGACATAAAGATAAGAACTACCAAGTTGATACCAAACATATACCAATGAAATAGGTAGGTACATTGAATGCTAGATACCATACTAACTTGAGGCACACTATATAAGGTTTTAATAAGATGTGTATCAACACAGAAAACACCTATTATACGTATTTTGCAGCTAGTAAGTAAAGCTATAATTATAAATTTCTATTTTTATTGTTGTTATTATTGTTGTTATTATTATTATAAAAATTTTTATAGCGCTTTTTATAAACGTCATTACCGACAATAACAAAATCGTCAGGATAAACACAAAACAAAAATCATAACGAAGTCAAACAAAAGTCATCATCGACAATAACAACAACAAAAACAGCAATAGCAAAACAACAAAAAAAGCAACAACAACAACAACAATAATAATCACTCACTTTCACCAGCTAAGCTGTTAATCATTAATTAATTGCTCCGATCATTATAATTAATTACTCTGGATAAACTTGAATCAACTATAAATTATTCTACTACTACTTCTAAAACTACTACTGCTACTGCTACCACTACTACTACTACTACTACTACTACTACTACTACTCTAACTACTACTACTATTATTACTACTACTGCTACTATTACTACTACAAATAATAATAACACTTATACTATTAATGCGATTACTACTGCTGCTGCTACTACTACTTTTAAAAATAATTAAATAATAACAATCGACTGAAGGATCGCAATGTTGACTACTAGAGATCACCTGACAGGGTTTGGTCCTCAACTTTTCAACTATAGGACTTGCCTGTTGTTTCTAAGGCTGCTTGCTGGCTGTCGTACAAAAACTCAGATCTCTGAGACCTTCTACGATTTTACGAGACCTAAATTCAGAACTTACAAACTCATGAAAGCATAAACAATTTAATGACTACCTTGCAATATTTTGACAAAGCCCAAAGGGAACAAGACACTTGACATACGTTAGTACGAAAATGAGAGCTACCAAACAGTTAAAAGGGAAAGAAGAAGAAATTCAGAAGTGAAATCTATGGACGACGTCTTTTCTCACCGACAGAGCAACTAAACCAAACTAATTATACAGACATAACAACTGGAATGAAAACATTATTGTATCAAATAAAATATTCTGTATGTATGTATCTAGTATGTATCTACACACACACACACCACACCACACAAACACACACAAACATACACACGAATATATACCACACGCACATACATACACACATACACACGCGCACGCATGTCTGGCACACATTCATTCATTAATAAAAATACTCTCAATTCTATCTACACATCACGACTTTCAAAAATTTTTGTCATAAGAATTACAACAATAACAATAATAAAAATTCTCTTATTATTATTATTATTTCTATTATTATACCATTGTTGTTGTTGTTATTTATATTTATTAATTCTAACGTTTTCAACGGATTTAAGCTTGCGTTATTTCAAAAATGATGACTCAATTCAAAGAACACGATATTATACCGACAATACACAGAAAATATACCAAAATATACAAACAAACAAACACATACAAATAATATACCAAAATATACAAACAAACTAACACACACAGAATAATATACCAAAATATACAAACAAACAAACACACACAAATAATATACCAAAATATACAAACAAACAAACACATACAAATAATATACCAAAATATACAAACAAACAAACACATACAAATAATATACCAAAATATACAAACAAACTAACACATACAAATAATATACCAAAATATACAAACAAACAAACACATACAAATAACATACCAAAATATACAAACAAACAAACACATACAAATAACATACCAAAATATACAAACACATACAAATAATATACCAAAATATACAAACAAACAAACAAATGCTACGCGTAAAAAATAAGAAAACATATTCTTGTTAATAAACCAAATCATAATTTTTCAAACTTTTAAAAAAGAATATAAATAAGAAACACCAAAATGCTCTTATTAAACCATAACAATGACGTCACAATTGCGTCATAGATTTTCAACCAATCGTAATTCAAATAGAAATATTAATTCACCAAATACCAAAAAAATCATAGGTTACTGCAACTATACCTACCATTAGCAAAGACGGTTAATAACAATATTAAACGACTCATATTAAATATCAAAAAATAAAATAGATATATTAAACAATTAGTTAATAAGAGTAGTTAATAATTAAAAAAATTATACTTATAAGTAATTACTCATCACTAATTAGTAACTAAATTTCGTAAACTTACTTGGCGAAGCATTTACACTTATACTTTGGGACAGTACTTCACGCAATTCAGTATTTAGTTGTCAATCAGGAAATAATTATAAAATAAAATAAGTTTCATTATTAAAAGAAAATATGTCTTATTATTAAAAAGGTTATCGTACTAATATATTAAAATGAAATAATTAGCTTTAATAAATTAATTAATCTTATTAATTAATTAATTTTTTTAATTAATTAATCTTATTAATTAATTAATTGCGATCTAATTAATCACGTCTAATTAAACGATCTCGGAGTTCCTTCTTCACATTATTTCAACTCTCAACTATACTGCACAAACATTTGCTAATATTATGGTGAAAAAAAAACTATTAATAAGCATTCTTATATATATATATATATATATATATATATATATATATATATATATATATATATATATATACATATATATGTATGTATATGTATATATCTGATGAATATTTAAATATAGATTTATGATCATGAATAATTATATTGTTTACAAATAATACCAACAATAGCGTATGACACGAACTATGTGTGTGTTTGTGTGTGTGGTGTGTGTTTGTGTGTGTGCGTGGTGTATATGTGTGTGTGTTTAGAGGGAAACTATAATAGGAAATTTTCGTGCAAAAATCTATGTTTGTCGATGCTGTTAAAGTTATCTATGGCTTAAACTTTTTGCTTTCATCAACAAACTGGATGTTATGAATGTTATTTTGTCAAGTTGATGTAATTTGCCAAGTTAATATAATACGCTAAGTTAATGTAATTTTTTAAGTTAATGTCATGTAGTTACGTTGTTGTTGTTTTTCATATTAACCGTCAAGTGTTTAAGAGATTTTTTCCTTGTCGGATTAATGTCATATTGTTGTGTTTTAAACTGAAGCCGTTACTGTTATTGTAATTGATGTTATTAGAAGCTACGTTAGTTTTGCTTTTGTTTTTATGT